TAGAAACTTAAAAAGCTGCTGTCGCTCAGTATCCCTCTATGTCCAATGGTAGCAGTTTTCACACCTATTTATTTACTTTTGAAGTCCTTCCTGATAGTGTGACAGCATAGACAATGACAACATGTTTGTCATTTTAGTAGAAAGAAACTTAAGTCTTTAGATTATCAGTATTGCAGTTAATCAAGGTTTTTGAGTTTTCAGTATATGGAGTATATCAAAATGTTATATAGAAATGTTTGGTGAACTGTCCTAAAAGCCAAAACACAGTAACTACATATCATATGCCTAGAGACCAGAAAATAATGATTTGACATCTGGTATAAAAAAGTAGCCTTACAATGCCTTAGACACAGAAAATTATTGAGAAAACATAAACAAGTAATTACAAAACAGTGCTAAAAAGTGAGCTGTACTAACTGGTCTCTGGCTGAGAGGGACCTGGATGCAGATATAATTGTGGACCTCTGCAAGACAATTCGCAAGAAGCACCTCTGCAGTTGACAGGAAATCTCACCTGATCTCAGCAGCGGGGAAATAGAAAAGACGAGAAGGTGGCCAGGCCTCACTGATGTCCTCTGGCTGCTCTGCCTCAACTCTCTGTGATTTACAGAATTTCCTGATGGACAGACAACTTTACCTGTTGCTAACTGTAACTGCAGTTAGCTAGTTAACTTTGTTAGCTGCGCAGCTCACAGTCCTATTGGCTGAGCCTGATTAGATTATTTTATTGGTCCAGTTTATCAGTTTAAATCAGTTGCATCTATTATTTAAAGGCAAATTAAATGTAATATGATAAGTGTGATAAACTGTAATGTGATTATAATCTCACAAACTAAATGTCCTTTTTTTATTCAAGCCCAATATGCCATCCCCCAACTGTATCATTTTGCAGTTTTTCCTTTTGGACTGTAATCAAATTACTGTAGCCTTATCCTGTTTTGTTGCTGTTGTTGATGACTATTATTATCCTGGTTGTCCACTGAAGGTCTCCTCCTCCTCACTCTCAGTTTCTTTTAAAAAAGCAGAAAGGACAGCAGTCTTTGCATTAGAAAAACAGTGGCTGTGTGGCTTGCGTCAACTATAAAATTTTAAGGATCTCAGTTTTACTGTGTGTGTGTGTGTGTGTGTGTGAGAGAGAGAGATTTAGAGGTTCCGCCAGAAGCAGAAACAGTAAAACTGGAGTGTGTATATAAATCAGCCTCACTCAAGAAAATGAGTTGTTTGCGGTTCTCAAAAATGCTCTCGCTCACACACACGCACACAGACACACACACAAACAAACACAGCTTCCAGTGGTGGTCAGTCAAAAGTAGAACTGGAGCCAGAACAAAATGGAAAGAGATGGAGACAGAGATATAAAGAGGGTCCATGTCCATTAAGTAATGCGATGAGGTCTCAGCTAATCAAATCAAACTGTCGCTCACTCATTCACTTCTATAAGAACTTTAGAGCCAGATGCAATTTAAAACTTATCCATTAAAGTGATTTACAGCCCACTTGATTCTGTTTGGGGCTTTTCAATCAACAATACCTTTTGTTGACCTTTTTTCACTCTGCCACTCTCTTTTTTTTATCGCTGCCTTTTTCGGTCTCTATTTCTGGCGGTGCAAGTTCTGTGTTCAGTGAATTTGTGGTGTGTGTGTCTGTGTTTTGTGTCAGTCGGTTGACAGACCGGGGCTGCTGTCTGACAGAAGAACTTTCTGGGGAGCAGGTGTCAAAAAGTTACAAGGTAGAAATACAGAGAGGAAACGAGACATGGAAAGGGGGAGTGAAGACTCAAGTAATGCATTGAATTTAGGATTGTAAACGTGTCGTGTCTCCACATATAAATCAAGGAATGAATCACAACCCTGTCAATGTCGGAGACCCCTCTTCAAATAGGTTACAAGCAAGCGTTTACAGATGTTTCTGGTGGTTTCGCTTAAAACTAATAAGCCTATTTTTTCCATGCTGGCATTTCACTGCCATGCTGCAACGTAACACTGTCAGATCGCCGATCAGTGATCTCAAGTAGCCATGATCAGACAATATGAAAATAGAGAAGATCGCCCAAGCCTAGTCTGTAACAATGTTCAAGACAATTTATCCAATAGTTGTTGAGCCATTTGACTCAAAATCACAAATGTCAACCTCATGGAGGTGCTGGAAGTAAAGTCAGGGGATGGTCATTGGGATTCATTCCCTGGGAACAATGGATAAAGTATGTGTACCAAAGTTAATGGCAATCCATCCAATAGCTGTTAAAATTTTCCAGTCTGGACTGATTGACAGACTTTTGCACCGCCAGCATTGCTAAAAGTGTGTGATCATGACAATCATAAAAAGGTCACGTCATGACTTGCAGCAAAAGTGTTAGCTAATCATCCTAGTTAAAATTTGTATGTCATGTTTCATAATTCCTGCATCTTTGCTTTCTATACATCAAGACTCACAATGGAAATAAGCCTTGGACGATATCGAGCCACCCTCCATTTTTGTAGTTATCATTAAGTGCCCTTGTCATAGTGTCAAATAAACTTAATTAAACTATAATACTTGGCATCATAAAGACACACACTAGGCCCTGGATCAAGATCGATGGTCCCAGTATTGTTGCTCTCAAGTAAGTCATTTTGGAGATTCACACAAACACCAAAAACCATCAGAGAGGAACAAGTTTACAAACACTACATAACTGAGCTCAGAAGATGTTAAACGCCTAATTCATGACATCAATTACGGGTATGTTTACATGAATAATTGAAGACTGATGCTGGGATCTATTCGAGCCTCCTCCTATGACCATGAGCAGAATAAGCTGTTTATAAAGTGGATGGAGGGGATGAGTTTAGGACTAAAAGAAAACCACAGAGGAAGAATAGGTTTATGTGATGATTAAAAAAAAAGTGAGAGAGGAAGACGAGGCGAAGAAATGGCTAAAAGAGAAGAGACGGGCTGAGACAGAGATGGGGAGAGGAGGGCACAGATGGGAGTGCTGCTACAGCCAGCACCAGCTATGAATAATGAAAGCTCTACAGTCAGTGTGATTGTGTGTGTGTGTGTGTGTGTGGCTGTGTGTGTGTGTGTGTGGCTGTGTGTGTATTACATGTGTAAATTAGTCAGATTAATGCATACATATGTTAATGGTTCCCCAGGTGTTTACCAGGAACCTGGTAATATCATGTTTGTGTGCACTGAGCTGAACAGCTTGTGTTTGTGTTGGTGGGGTGATGGAGCAGTGGATAAGACACATGCCTTTGGTGTGAGAGACCCGCGTTTTCCACTGTGATACACCAACGTGACCTTGAGCAAGACACTTAAAGGGGACCTAAGATATTGCATTGTCTTCGGATTGGCCATTGTCTAACGTGTTTGCCAGGTTGCTGCAGGGATAGGTCTGCATGTTCTTTTGTGGGCATGGCCAGCATTCTCTGTCTGGTGCAAATGACCATATTTGGAAATCCGGCTCGGAATGACATCATACCGAGCCATTAGCAGAAAAAACAGTTCAAAACAGAGCATTCGGATCAGGGGGATATCTGAGGTTTTGGCTCACAGGGATTTCTTTTTAATACTTTTACCTCATCATTTGAAACTTTGGCCATGTTTAATATGAACTGAATATGATCTGACACTGTAACGTTGTAGAAATGCTACAAAATATGAAAAAGTATAATAGGTCCCCTCGTTGCTCCAGAGGCATGCTACCTCTGACATATAGAGCAGTTGTAAGTCGCTTATGGTAAGCTAAATGTCAGCTAAATGAATAAATGTAATGTGTGGAACAAAGTGCAAACATCATCGTCATGTGATGTGCAACATGAAAATCATGTTATGTGTAGTATCCACTGCCCATGTTCATTATGGTTTTAGATTATATGAAGTGTCTGTGTTTGTATATTTAACAGAAATTGTAAAAATAAAGTGTGTGTGTGTGTGTACTCTAGTCCCCCTGAGTGTGTATTGAGTTGTAACCATAGACTGTATAAAAAATGTACATGCATTACTCGCACTCCTCTTTCAACCTCTCTCTGTGTCTCCTTCTTCACTCCTTCCCTTACTCACCTCCTACTCCTCTATGTACATCCATTTTTCTAAACTCCCTTTCCTCCCTCCCCCATTTCTCTCATTTCTCCTTATCTCTTTCTATCCTCTTGTCTCTGTCTTCCATCTCACTGACAGTTTGCTATGCCCTGCACCCCTTAGTTGCTGTTGCTACACCTGTCAATCTTTTCATTCTAGCACGTTGCATATTTTAATTTTAACTGATTACGGAGGCAAATATTTCACTTGCAATGCTTAGTATTAGTTTTGGATAATCGTTGCCTTGGCTAAGGGGTTTTGTAAACTGTCATTTATGTTTGGTTCATTTTTATTTAACTCAGTATTAAAATAAATTGTTATTCGAGATATTAGGCAGATGTCTGGAAATGGTTAGGGAAATCAGCTAATATAAGAGATTTTTAATTTCTCACCTTCATCTTCCTTCCCCCTTATTCTCCACTGAATGGATTTGCTTGTATTTGTTTGTGTGTTTTTTCGTCTTGCTTTTCAGCTGACAAAGCAATGCTTTCATATGTTTTCCAACATTGTTGAGAGTTGGCCACTCAACCTGATGTGATGCTGGAGAAAGAAAATCTGGCCAGTTTAATCCACTGTTGCCGTGACAGCTCACCAATGAAAACAATGCACTTCCACTTCTCCACACCTCCATCACTCGCTCACAATGACACAACCAGGTGGAAAAATACTCTCGCTTCCTCTCTGCCAGTCAGATACAGATGGACTGTTGAGATGAAGATTATATACTCTGTGTGAAACAGACCGGTAATACACTTTTGTGCCCTGAGCATTTTAAAATTGGGATGTTAGATTAGTTTTTATTCATAGTGCAGGCATTATCAGCCAAAACCCGTTCAAAGTTATGTACCGACACCACTTACACTGCAGTGATTCTGCAATGCAACACTGCCTCCAATATTATGTTTACATATTACTAATTACAAATTGCTGCCTGAATTATGTTTAGCGGCAACGGGAGGTAAGACTTTGACATCAAAGACCAAGGTTCACATCCTGCGGGTGGGTGGGTTTAGGCAACAAAAGCACTTTGGTTTAGGTAAAGAAAGAGCATGGTTTTGGTTAAATGTTATCAAAGTAAACACATTGTGTCTGGTGTTTCAACTCTTTACTTAACATAATTTTTCCCTAACCTATAAAGAAAAATGACAATAATGCTTTGTTTGTAGAAGATACTGAATTGCAAGAACACATATTGAAGGATAAACAAATGAAATATGCTGTAAGTGAACATTTTACATATGTTGTTCTGGATGAACTTGGCAGATGTGTTCATTAGAAGCCTTTGTTTGGTATTATGTTTACCTCGTACCTGTTCATTGTTGAAAATTAGTAGCATAGATATGTTTTTATTGTTTTATTTCTAGGTGACAGGGTTGCACACTGCGACAACGAAAGGAAATGAAGGAGACCTACTATGCTTTTCCATATTTTATGACTTATCTACAATATTACAATGTTGGATGTTCATGTTAAACATGGCCAAATCTTCAAATAATAAGGTTAAAGTATTTAAAAGAAATCCCTGTGAGAAGAAATCTCAGATTTCCACCTGTTCTGAACATTCTGTTTTCAACAGCTTATTATTATTATTCCATATATGGTCATTTGCGCCACACAGCTACATTCAGTCTGTCTGTACCGCTCAGCAGCAACCATAGACTGTAGCTAAGAAGTGGACATAGTCATTGTGACGTCACCCGTTGGTTTGTGGACTGCCGTTTTGAAGCCTCGAGTTTGGCCCCTGTTGGCCATTTGATAGAATGCAGGTTAAAGGGACTTCCACATTGGATTCACATCTCTGACTGGAAGCTTCCCGCTTGGCAACAACAACAGCTTGATAACATGCTTTAGGTCTTGGCCAATCAGAAGATCAGCTTTGGGGGGGGGGGGGGGGGGGGGGGGGTCTTAAAGAGACAGGAGCATCCACAGCTTGTTTCAGAGAGAGGCTGAAATGAAGGCCTACATGAAGAGGCAGTATAAGATAGAAAATTATTTCTTTTTTTACTTTGAATCATGCAAAGCTGCCATACAGGAGTCACAGAAGAACAATATAAGTCTCCTTTAAAGCACTTGTCCACTACTGTTAGTCTCAACACAAGCTTCTTAAATCATGTCAAGTGTGCCTGTTTTTCACTTTACATTTTGAGTCAGTAGCATATACTTGGGAGTTTACTTAAAGCATAGGACTGACAGGGTGTGCCATCCATCTTTCTTTCCACTATTTGCAAATTCTTTCATCTTCCTCTCTCTCAAAATACATTAACCGATCTGATAACAATGCCATCTCACCTATTTTCTCACTCTACTAAGCTCACATGCACACATTGTTATTTTTTAATATCCCCACGTCTTTAATAAAAATCAATTTACTTGTTAAGGTCTCGTTGCAGTACGCATCCCCTCAGAAACTCTTTGCGCTGCATTTTAGGGTGTTCTCCTGGGTGCTCCTAATGGAAAATTTCTCAACTGTGGCTGTGCTGCGCATTGCATCGCTGTCAGTTTGAGAAAAATGTTGAGGGCCTGGGGGGAAATAAGCAGTCTCATCTAGTGTCCCACTGAGCAACGTCAACCCAGGCTTCAACCTTCATCTTTGCAGAGGCTCCTCGTCATTTTCTGCAAGAGAAAACAAAAAATGAAATGTTCTTTTTTGTGGTATATCCTATTTGTTACTTAAAGCTAGCTAATAGGATAGTCTTGTTGGTAATGAGGCAGTCCGCACCCATGCAGCTGTGCTTTGTGTGTGAGCCCCAGAAATGACCTGCTCATCAGGTCATTTCAGACAGATTACAGCCTGACAGGGTGAGACTCTGAGTTTTAATAGACTGTTCAAACACACTCGCTATGAACACTTCCTTATTATGAGGGCGAGCATACAACTGAAAAGGTTAATTATCATGAATGCACTCGCTGAGCTCATCTTTCTCTTCACTTTTTAACAGGAAGATCATCGAGGTAAAGATTATCGATGATGAAGAGTATGAGAAGAACAAGGCCTTCGTCATTGAGCTGGGGGAGCCCGTTCTGTTGGAGATAGGGCAGAAACACGGTGAGCAATCTTGTGTTTTAATGTGTGTGTGTGTGTGTGTGTGTGTGTGTGCGTGTGGCTGTTCAGAGAGGCCATCAAGAAGCCAGGAGAGGGACCAGGAACAAGGAAAGTGTGACAGACAGGATCTTTATTTAACCACCACAAGATTCTCAGCCCTCCTGCACACCTGTCTCTTAGCAGCCAAGAATCTCGCCGGTCTCCAACCTATAGACTGTGGTCATTATTGCAAATAATTCTGTAAACTAAGTAGCAAGAAAAGAGCATCTTGAACACAGCTTGCAGTTTGTTCCTGCCTAATGAACTATTTTGATCAAGTTCCTTTCTCAGTGGCAGCTCTGTCTTGCCGTTTCCCACTTTCTGAATCCACAGAGTTAGGCAGAGAGCCCTGAAATCCATGAATCTGAAACATCTAAGCCCTTCAACTTTTTAAGAACATCGGAAGCTTTAGTTGAACTTTTAAAAGGCTCATTACAGCAGGCGGACAGCTAATCTCTGGCAGGTGACTCAAGGCTCAAGAGAACCATGAAGTAGTTCCTGCAGCTTGTTCTGTTCGAATGAATTTCCACAAGACTTAAAGCTTACAAGATGAAAGAAAAGACAAAAGAAACGTGGAGGACCTTTCCTTGTGTCCTTTCAATTTAAAGATACATGTTCATTCTTCCTCTCCCTCACTAATATATTCTTGACTGCAGCACTGTGTGTTTGCATTTTGTGTCATCAACGGGATAACTGACTATACATACAACTAACCACTAACACACTGCTTCTCAACCTTCTCAGTACAGAACCATCTCTCTCTCACTTTGTGGCTTGGCTCTAAATGTCAGTCCACCACTTAGAAATACTGATGGATGGATTACTTCACAGTTTCTACAGAAAAAACTTTCCTATATTTATTTTTGTTATAATTATGCTATGCTTTTATGCTTTTTTACAGAAGCCCTAAGCAACCATCCATTCAAATTTTTTTTTACTCCATTTTCCCGCGATAACGGGCTAATTTTCTCGAGATAACAAACCATAGCTGAATACAGGGGTCAGCAGGTGCTTTTCTTTACAATAATTTCAGATCACTAATCAGTGCCACTGGCTAGCTCAGCTGGTAGAGCACAGGACTTGTAATCCAAGGATTGTGTGTTTGACTCCTGCTCTCAATGATCTTCTTTTGTGTGTTTTTTATTATCTTCTTCAGCAAATTTGCTATGAATAGATTCAGGGGAATCCAATCACACATTTATCGATGGCTGTTTCAAAGGTTTGGAAACAGCCGTCAGGAAATGTGTAACGTTAAATGGATTCCCCTGAATGAGAAGCGCAGGAATTTCCTCTGCCTAGGAATGGAAAAGTCCATTGGTTGATGGATGTGGACCAATCACCGGGATGCACACAGTCCAGCAGCAGTCTCTTCATAAGAACTTTGTTGAAGAGGATTATGTAAAAGATTTATTTTTAAATTTAACACACAATCCTGCAACTATGAGTCTTGCTCTCTACCAACTGGAACAGATGGCCGCTTAGGGTTTCCGTAGTTTTTGAAATTTCTACACTTTAAGTGTATTTTCTTGGGTTTTACACACAACTACAGTGATTGCGTGTTCCGCTCCGAGCGCTGTGAAAACGGTGGTAACCTACACATAATACTGGGCCTGAACACATCCTGTGCAGACACAGAGGGAGCACTGATGCACAGCTGCTGCTGCTCTGCTAGCATACTGCTCACGCTACGCCTCCTGTGTAGACACAGTGACAGACTCTTCCTGGTGCAGTAAGGGTCCACACGCCAGATGTCAGACATGAAGAGCCAACAGCCTGGGGCATGTTTCATTACAGAGGAAATAGAATTGATTTTATAACGCTGTCATAGCAAGTGCACTGACATTTACACACATATGCACACTCAGCCACACACATACTGTATCACATAGAGTACACAGTTCAGTTACAGCAGGTGTACACTAATAACAGCTGACTTAATTAATGACTGTCAATGTGTGAGAAGAGTGAGTGAGGAGACATAAGGATCACTGGAGGGATGCATGGTGGAACATATGGTAATGGAGAGATGGAAAGGTTGTTGATTCGGAGAAAATATAAATTCCCCGTAGGTATTAATATTTGTAATAACATGGGGTGGTTAATAGCTTGGATTTCCCATGTGGCACATCAGTTCACGACTGCTTGCACACGTTCTTAAAATGATAACCCAGCAAAACTATTAGAAAAATTTATGCTGCTCTTGGCAAAATCAGACAAATGAAACACTACATGGTACATGGTTTGAGTTGAAATGCAATGCAAAAGCTGAATGCATAAACAGTACTGATACGAGGTCAGTTTGTAAAACTAAATCTGCAGTTGTGAAAATGGGTAAATGATGCTTTCAGCTTTTTTATCACTGCTCACTTTGCAGCTGAACATTTCAGAAATTTCTCAGACAATTAAATAGTCAGTATGGTCTCTCCAGAACATTCAAGAGATGAATGATGCTCCTTTTTTTATGCATACTCTGTGACTTGGTTTTTGATTTGCACACACACACACACTGGCTATGACATGAGTGACCCCAGAGTGACCTCAATTTTGCAAATGGACATAGGTTAAAGGAGATTTACTAAAAAAGTTTGAAATCTTAAATCCACACAGACTCCACGCTGAATTGTCACGGTTATGGACATGTTATTTTAAGTGAGCAAACCTGATGAGTGGAGGGTCCAGAGATTTTTGAGATGAAATGCAAAGGGCAGTAGTGATTCAACACAATATATTTCACAAGGTGGCACTGAGAGTGGTTTGTAATGGATTTTGGACCCAGGTCCATAGCCAGAATGAAACCTGTATTTGGCTTTTTTTCACTGAGAAGGGCTTTGCCTGCTTCAGTTAGTAAAATCACAAACCAATAGGTTTGCAGATATATATTTGATCATTTCCAGACCCATTTTCAGTGACACATATTATACATTGTTTTTTTTTTTACTAAATGAGGATGGCATCTGTGACTTTTTTCATAAAAAAAACAAGCAGAAACCTACCACACAGGCAGGCCTGCCCACAGAAATGACATCAAAGTAAATGGGCCCTCTGCAAATCTGCTTTGCTCATGTCAACGCATGCTGTGCTCTCTCTCTATCTCCTACACAAACACACGGCCTGCCGCATGCGGTGCACTTTTGATGTTTTGACGTTGTGTACAACAACATTTTGTGTTATTTTAAGTAATGTTGAGTTTTTTGGTTCAAAATTAAATTTGGTTACATTTGGAATAAACATCATTAGTGCTGGACTGCATGGGCCCCCTAGCAGCTGGGCCCTAGAGTGCTTTCCCCTTTTACCCCCCTTCTGGGTGGCCCTGCACACAGGAAATACTGAGGACATACTGAGGCTGTAGCCTAAATTTCACAATAAAAGTTAATGTAGACATGACGGTAGCATGAAACAAACTGAGTACCTATAATTGACCCTTCGCTAAGCCATGCCCCAAATACACAGGTGGCCAATCACAGCGCTTCTTCCTGAGATCGCTTTTTCTAAAAACATTACCAGTAGTTCTCCAGGGAGTGCAGTAATAGACTGTGGCAGCGCCGTGATAAAAGTCCAACAGGTCCGACAGTTTGTTGGACTTAGCAGTAACAGTAACTAAGGCGGGCGTGGCTTAGCGAAGGGTCAGTTAGGTTCCTTAGGGTTTGTACTGTATAACCTCTGCACAGTTACACGTATCCTACTGGCCCACTGAGCCATTCATCTCTGTGGTCTCCTAGGGGACTCCAATGAGAACAAGCCGTTGGTGGGAGCAGAGGAGGAAGAGGTGGCCAAGATGGGCTGTCCCAGTCTGGGCGAACACACACAAGTAGAGGTGGTCATAGAAGAGTCCTACGAGTTCAAGGTAAGTGTGTGTTTGTTTGTGCACATGTTGGCTCCATTAACAGCAATGTGTGCATCATGTAAGTCTTTCATTTTGTATCAGCAGCTATAATTAGTACGATTTTAAATCTTGTTGAAAAAGCTTTTTTGGCAGCCATCATCAAGTCAGCTGCGTTAAGTATCCCCTAAAAAGTAAGCAGACTTAAAATGCTAATTCTATCTAAAGCAATTTAAAGTGAGTGTCAGCTGCCCTGGCCCTGAGGAGGAATGATTCATTTTGTTAGCATGTAATGGACTCTTTAATGAGATGCTTGTCATTTTGAAAGCAGACATGCAAAAGACAACGTAGGATTTATTCAAAGTGAGCTGTCATCTTGTTTCAGTACAAAACAGGCCCTGGCTTAGTCATTTAATAATGTTGTACATTAGAAATGCGTTTGATCAGTTTGTAATTCAGCCATGGGTCATCACAGTTGTTGTTATCTTGAAATTGCAACCAATCATACAGGGTATATTTGTTGCTGATTCCATTCGCTCATTTGTCCATTTGTCATTTTGTATGTGTGCGTGTGCATGTGCAGAGAGCAGTAAATGAGCTTATTTGGTGTTCTGACAAGGTTATCTATCTTTCTCACTCTTTAGTTTGCCTGTGCATGCAATGCTAGTTCTTCTCTTTACTGCTGTCCAATACTGAAATGGTGTAATGGTGTCAGGGTCCAGCATCTATTCTATAAATCTGTCATCCCTTAATTAACACCCCACACTGGAATTCATACATGGTTTCTCTTATTAGGAGTGCTAATATACAGTACTTCTTTTAATGTTGTCTTCAATTTATTCAATTGTAAATCATGCAGGAAACCCTGTCAGCCGAGTTATGAGAATGAGTGATGGTGCTCTATAGCTGCCGAGAGCTGTTTTGCATCAACATCTTCCTCGCTGATTTAAACAGAAGAATTCACCCAGTCTGCCTGCAGGTTTTTCCAAGATTTCACGGGGAGGGTCACAGCCGATTTCAGAGTATTGTATTAATTAGCACATCGTATGTCTTAGATTGTCAGTGTTATAAAATAACTGACTTTTGAAATGTATATTTGCAGTGTGGGAGCTAATTGAGAGGTTTAAAAAAAAAAAAAACATTTTCCCTTTCTGTGTGGCTGAGATTGAATTAGGAACTTGACAGTTGTGTCTTTCCTGTTCTGCCTGGTCTGTATGCACTTGCATGTTTGCTTTTGTGTGTGTGTGTGTGTGTGTGTGTGTGTGTGTGTGTGTGTGTGTACAGAGTACTGTAGATAAGTTGATCAAGAAGACAAACCTGGCCTTGGTGGTGGGAAGCAGCAGCTGGAGGGAGCAGTTTGTCAGTGCTGTTACCGTGAGCGCAGGTAACACAAACATATACAGACACACACACAGGACATAACAGATCATTTTGATTTATGAACAGAGGTTTTGGTTGACATCGTTCTTGACTTAATTTTGAAATGATGGATGATGAAAAAGTCTTGCGTCAGCGTTTTATTTGGAACCTTTCCATGCATTTATGTTTTTATCTATTCCTAGTCTAAGTTGTGCAGGTTTCATTGCCGTTACAGGGAACGGGAAAGTATGCTTTAGTCTTGGTTTAGAGAAACACACTTACTCGACATTTTGGGAAATGTGCTTATTAGCTTTCTTGCCGAGAGTTAAATAAAAAGATCCTCTCTCCACTCTCTTCTCTGTATGCTAAATGTGAAGCTACAGTCAGCCGCCATTTAGCGTAGCTTAGCATAATAACTGGTCGAAAGTTTTTTAAGATACTCCTACTAACATCTCTAAAGCTCACGAACATGTTGTAACATTGTTTAAACTATACTCAATAAAACGGAGTTCTCGCTGTACTATTTTCTGGTAAAAGGCGGAAAGAAATGGCTATAGCACATAACTAAAACCACCATTTGCTATTTGTATGTTTGTATGAACATGCTAATTAGTGAGCTTTAGATGTGTTCACAGGTAAAAGGTTTTTATTCTTAATGCTAAGCTAAGTTAATCACCACTTGGTTCAAGCTCTATAGTTAGTGGATAGCCATTAGCCATGTTGGAATCAAATGTGTTAATGTGTTTATAGTTGTTATCATAGAGGTAGGGGAGACGTGTTATTGTTCTAATATGGTGCACACTTTCAGACAGTCTCTCCTGAAAGGTATTCGTAGTGTTGCACCCAGCTGTAAACATGAAAAGTGTGTACTACTGTGTACAACCATTACAAATAGTGGTATTGTATTAGTGGAAATAAAAAGAGAAAAAATTAAACCCAGCATACTTTCACCAATCACGACGTGAAGTGGGTGTGAATTTTGGACTATTGGTTTAGGAAAGTTACAGAAATGGTTTGGTGTGGGGAGGGGGGTTTCCGAAGCTATTCGACCATCTGACGAGCTACTCTGAAGAAGTATTCTGGCAAATTAACTCTCAACAAGAAGGTGAATAAGCATTCTTTCCTCAAATTGTTAATGCATTAGGATGGATTCTCTGCCTCCTTCCTTTGACTTTGCCAGCATACAAACTGTATCCACTCATCTTTCTCTTTCTCCTTCTTTCAATTGTTTGTCTGCTCTTCTTCTCTTTCTGTCTCTTCCCTCAATGTCTGAATCACCCACTGCACCCAAAGGAGACGACGACGAGGAGGAGAGCGGCGAGGAGCGGCTGCCGTCCTGCTTCGACTACATCATGCACTTCCTCACCGTCTTCTGGAAGGTTCTGTTCGCTTTCGTCCCGCCCACAGAGTACTGGAATGGCTGGGCCTGCTTCATTGTCTCCATATCGCTTATCGGTGTCCTGACGGCAGTCACCGGCGATCTGGCGTCACACTTCGGCTGCACTATAGGACTGAAGGACTCGGTGACAGCTGTGGTGTTTGTGGCGCTGGGAACATCTGTGCCTGGTAAGCGGGAGTGGTTTTAGATGTGTGTAGAGTAACGGAGGCCAATCAGTTTACAATTGTGTCATGATACATACTTTCTCACTGATAATAATAATAATATTCAAGCATTCTTTTGCAACCAGAATAAAAGTCCCTCTCCCAAACAAATCCAGTACTAAACATGAAATGAAATGCATATTTTCCCAAATTTCAGCTATGACAAATAAACAAACACATAAAAGGACAAGGACTGATCCTCTCTCCTCTATCTGATTTCATTTGCTGCCGTCCTCAGTAAGCTGGCTGGAAATCAAAATTGAATTGTAAAATTCCGGCTCCATCACAGCCTTCAGCATCAGCTTGTCTCTTCAGGGCGCACGTTGTCCCAGGGCTTTAATTCAATTCCTTTCTTCATTCCTTCTCGTCAGCCTTTTTATTGTTGCCCCTCTGTATGATTTATATAGCTCCTTTGCTACTCTTCCAAGTGGGAACTTTGATGGCTTGCAGCGAGTTCTGTGGAAAGTCCTTCAGCAGCTATATCATGTTGGTTTGGAAGCTGTCATCATGTATTTGATATCCATTGTCAGTATGTGTTCCCTGTCACAAGACATGATGTTAATTTGTAGGCTTTTCTTGCCTTTTCTTTTTATGTTTACCTGTCCTGGATCTATTTCATTATCCTTTGTTTTATCTTTCTCACTCACGTTCACTGTTTTCTCTCCCTCATTTCTCTGTCTCTATCTGTTCCTCCCTCACACTCTCCTCACTTATCTGTTACGCTTGCTCTTGTGCCCCATTCCGGTCAATTTATTATCCTGACTTTGTGTTACCTCACGCCTCTCTCTCTCTCTCACTCGCTCCCCTTGTTGGATGTTGTGGTTTCACTACTGTATCATCCATCATTCTTGCCCTGTGTGTGCTGTGGTACCCAGGTGTGTGTGGGTGATTGTGGCAATGTGTTTGCTCTGCTGAGGTGATGCAAGTTTGCGTGCAGCAAGTCCCGCAGGTCATTTTAATTTCCACTGGGAGTGTGTGCTCCCTTGTGTCTGTGTATGATTGTGATACACTTTCCTTAACCTTAACCTTAACCTTCTCTCGTGATTCCCACCGTCTGACTTGCACCCTTCTCACTCCTCAAGATTTATAAAAGCATTTCTGCTTTATTACTTCGGAGACACACACGAGGATTACCCAGCCAATTTACACCAGATTTGTTGATTCAGGCAATTAGAGGGCAAATGCTGATCAGAGGCTTGGCTTGAACGCTGTGAACTACTAAATGTTTTTCACAGTTTAAGAGGTTTATGGAGCTTGTTTGTAACAATCTGTGCCATTTAAATAGTATCAGTTGTGCTTGATATACCCTGCAGAGATCACGGATTCTCATTGGTTTAAAGTCTTGACTTTGATTGGTATCATATTCAGGACAGGACAGGACAGGACATGACTGTTAAAGGGTCAGTCCCCTAGAAATTAAACGTTTTTTTTTTTGCAACCACAGCAACCAAGGTATATGAATTTTAAACAGCTTTCTGCTGAAGAAATAGTCCATGTGACAACTGTAGACTTTATATTCGGTGCATTATGCAAAGTAACACAGTTACTGTGTAGTAAGTACCGCTTTATTATACTTCATTATTAAGTCTGACTTTGTATTCATTTTAGGCAGGGTTTTTTTGGTAAGCGTTATGACATCCATCACGCCAAAGACACTTTCAGGCTACTGGAAGCTGTGGTAGCGGTTGCTAGCAGCAGCTAATGTTTTCTGTTATGTTTCTGGCTCTGACCATTGGAGGGCAGTAACACATTATTTACTTAAGGGATTACAACTACTAATCCCCGTAGCGCTCCTTTAATTTGACATAGCTAGTTTGCGGACATAAGCCATAGTTTCATCTGTTACCTGGTTGGTATTTGCTGAAAAAATCTGAGGTGTGTGCAGCTGTTCAGAGGTCTGGAATCAGGCTGCACTGTTTCTGAAAAGACAGATCTTGTTCTATAACATACACTTGCCTTTCTGTGAATTTTATTCAAGTCTTCTGCAGAAGGACTCACAGCATGTACACTCAAATGAGTGAGGAGAGCTGAGTGAGCCTGTTATTTATCCAGCTTCAGGGTCAATCATATCATCCCACAGAGACACATTGTCCCTGAAGTCTGGATAACACAGAGGACAGAGATATTTCAACTGTTACGTTTACACAGATTCAGTGCCACATCACACATGAGTCTCACTGAGTCCAGGATTACATATGTTTGGAGTTCCCATTACACAGGGTAATTCACCACTGGGGTGGGGGGGATTGACAAACTCGGTTAATGTACAGTATATGATGCAGTGGGTTTCTAAATTTGGGTATGAACCTCTTCTGTGTTGACCGTATTAGTTACTACAGTGTGTGTACATGTGTGGAGGCAATAATGTGCAGTTTCATGATTCAAACCCTCAATGTGCTTGTGTGTCAACACACGCAAAATTTTCATTTCTTTTTGTGTGGTTTGTTACCAACAGGATTACAATTCATCTCTCCCAAGAAAGTTTGAAGGATTTATTTCATGTTGGGATATGAATTTCAACTAATCTCGCTGACATTCAAATGAGAATTGAGGCTCATCTCACCAGCCCGTCTAAAAATAGAAATAAGCCGTTGCAGGCGTACAATATTTGGCAGCTGTTTCCCTGGCGTTCCCTGCCAGCCCAGTTGTACAGTCTCTGCGCTTTTCACCCAATTTCTCCTCAAATGTTGAGCGTCACTCACATACACATACAGCATTTTACAGCATTAATTACTGTTCTATCTTAGGTGCCAACCTGCATCGGTGGATTACAGAAAAAAAACATAAACCAAGGGAATGTAACTGAAAGTCTTAACTGTGGCTGTTGCGACTACGGGGCATGCAAACTTTGCACTGTCCACCTTTGATGTAGAGATTTGTGGAATGCAACTCGGGCAAAACATAGATATCATGGCAAGCAACCAAACTCCTTTTCAGATAAACTTAAATTTAACATAAATGCTCGTCAAAATGAAAGTGTCCTCATCCTTGGATTAGCTATTATTGCTAACTAAATAAGAATCTGTTAGATCGAGTAACCAGCTGGCCTGCTAGCTGTTTGGTTTGACAACTAGCAAACTACCTTTGCTAATATCAAACTTTAATAGGCCTAATTATCATTTTATTGTTTTTATGAGAAACATTCTGCTGCCCATGAAGTAGATTCCTATGCAGTTCACTACAACAGCTAATTCAGGGGGCTTATTTCTGTGGTTACTTTCAACTCAGAGCCAAACAATGATTCGTGTAAAATGTGAGTTTTGAAATCTCTGGCTCGCTCTGCTTGCCCCAAAATATGGTTATGCCAGAGTTGTGTTTTCCTGAATTTCTACAATGGAGGTGGTGAGTGCAAGTTTTGCATGAGCCGCCAGTCAGACCCAATGTGTGAATAAGACCCAGGTTGAAAAAATAGAATGTCTCTTTAAGGTGAGAAATGCAGAAGATAGAGCACCTGTGCAGTTTGTTGAATCAGGTTTTAGTACAACTTTATATGGACAAGCAGATTTTCTAACATTTAAACCTATGTTTGGTTGGCACCCCAATTTTTTTGTGATGCCTTTCACAGTTATGTTCCATCTCTTCAAAGTCTCTTCCCCTTGTTTGCTCTCCTTGCTGTTTTCTATCAATTATCAGTTCCTCCAGGATTTTGCGGGGTTTTTTTGTGATTGTTGTGGTCTAAAATGCCGGATTTTAAACCTGCATATTTAACCTGTGGCACAATGATTTTTCTCATCCGATGTCCTCAATGCGTTTCTGCCGTTCTCAGCGTAGGTTTTGCGGTTGCAAAGTGTTTGTCAATGGACGATTTCCTTGTCGACCTATGTATTGTTTATCCCTGCCTGTCTTTCTCTGTCTCTAAGAGTCATCCATTAATTCTGTGTAATAATGTGTAATTCTTTCCACAAATACTGACATCTTTTAGACAAACTGGCCTGTCGATGATGCCAAATACCTTGATTTTTCTACAACTCTGGTTTCATACTCTATGTTACCTTGAGATTGTTTCCTCTGTGGCTTGTGAGAAAGACATTTACAAAAGATTTCGATTTTCCATACTTTTTCATATTGTTGCTTTTCATTATTTGACCTCAGGTTGATGGTTTACTTTTCCTGCCTGGTCTTTATGTTTTCATATTTCCATTGCTGTCCTTGTTTGTGTGATTTAAAAATGCTAAAAGGGTTTTAAACATAAATCATTAACAAATAAGAGTCATTTAAGTGAGTCCCAGAACAAGAACAATTTAAAAATATGACAACGCTTTAAAATTACTGTAAAATTTATGTCTTTCTCATACAGACACATTCGCCAGCAAGGTCGCCGCCATCCAGGACCAGTACGCTGATGCCTCCATAGGGAACGTCACCGGCTCCAATGCTGTCAACGTCTTCCTTGGCATTGGCGTGGCTTGGACCATCGCTGCAGTCGTCTGGCGCTCCAAGGGCAAAGCGTTCAAGGTGGACCCAGGAAACCTGGCCTTCTCCGTCACCCTCTTCACCATCCTGGCCATGGTGTGTGTGATGACACTGCTGTACCGGCGGCGGGCAACGGTGGCTGGCGGAGAGCTGGGCGGGCCGCGGACTTGTAAGCTGCTAACGTCGCTGATGTTCATCTCGCTGTGGCTGCTTTACATCCTGCTGGCTTCACTGGAGGCCTACTGCCATTTACCAGCGTTTTAAATGGAGAGCAGAGGGGAGGGAGAGAGACCCACTGCCAATATGTAGAGAGAGAGAGAGAGAGAGAGAGAGAGAGGGACGGGACAAGGAGAATGGGCCGATTATGATACTTTTTATGGGCTGCAGATGATTAAATTACGTAAAAGTCCAAAACAGTTTTCAGTCTTTCAAACTGATTTTTTCCCCCTTTGTCCACAGTGTGTATTATTATGAAACACTAAAACTCTCCAATTATATCCAAACATTTTACTTTTAGCATTTGCACCTCTTTAAAGAAAGGAGACCCACCATTGATCCAATGCTGAAGAAACTTCTGGGATACATACAGCCTCTGAATTTATAATTAATGAACTTTAAGCAGTAATGAAAATTTGCAATGCAGGTTTTAAAGAGCTATTTTATGTAGTTGCCTCAATCATCCATCATCACCAGTGGACAACACTGTTTAATAGTTAATAAAAGGCTGATAATGTTCAAGTATACTGCCAAGGTAGAGGAGAAGAGCAGAAGTGAGAGCTGCCAATCAGCTGGGCTCAGAAGGTGAAACAAAAGGTGAAGAGGAAGGATAAGGGTGAATGATAGATGTGGAAAACAAAACTAGAGAAACGTCTATGAAGGGACCATTGAAAAGACAACACTGAATAAAGTAAAAGAAGTAGAGTAGATGGGGAAAAAATATTCGACAACTCCTCCTCACGCTCTCTCTCTCTCCCCCTCTATCTTTACTGTATCTCGTGGTCGCGGGAACGGTGGATCCTCCCATTATACCCACTGAACTCAATCTAATACTAACAGTGATTTATTACTTTAAACTCTTCTTCCCCCAACTGTACACAAACAAACATACACACACACACTTTGGGGCCCTCAGGTGAATCTGCAGTGGAGGACCACTCACTATCTTGCGGGCGAACAGGCAATACGAAAACAGAACAAGCTTCTTTTTTTTCTGTCGTGGTCTTTTTTCCTTCTCGTCTTGAATACACTGTGCGAAACAGTCCTTCCATGGTACAACACACACACACACACACACACACACACACAGATACTGTACCCTTCCTTTCCTACAAATACTCTGCAGACTGAACACACTCCTCTGTCCCTCTCTCTTGCCTTACACTTATCTCCCCTGTAGGAATTGTCTCAAAGTTGTGATAATGAAACGCTGTAGTCACCACCAACTACCCTTCTTTTTAAGTGAGCCAATGCCAAGTCTCTCTCCTTTTATGCCACTTAATAGCATCGTTTATCCCATGAAGGAAACGTACCCTGACCTTTTTTTTCTAAACTCTTCAATGGCGTCATGTGTTGATGTTGTTACCGTGCAATTGTAACAAAAAAATAGACATCAAAATATATTATGAAGAGATAGAGATAAAGAAAGTTAAAGCAGGTTGTTTGGAAGATGGGATGTTACATGGAAGATCAAGAAGTTGGATCAGCACCTGGAAGATATTTCAAAAGTGGGATGGAGACACAAAGGAAATGTTTGATAAGCAGAGGGAAGATTATAAATGTCTAGTGTCTGGAGAATCAGGCACAGAACAAGCAAGCAGTCCACCTAGTAAAACTTGTCTTTCTTGCAATGAAGAAGCATTGTGCACTACACATCGCGAGGTACATTGTTTACACTCTCAAGTTGCATTAAATGGCTGGGAAACAAACATGTGAACAAGCAGAGCCAGAGTCCAGCATGAAAGGATGTCACGCCAAGAGACATCAATGAACAAGACAAAGGTAGGACCAATCAAAAGGCTGGCTGTGACCTCGACAACAGCTAAGAAGATGATAGCAATGACAGTGTTGTTGACGACAAATCAAAACTATGACCATACCCAGTGTTTCTAATTGTACATGATAATATAAGAAACTTTTCTTGATGTGTGTGAGAAAACACTGATATTTAATGTATGTGAAGTCACCCTCTTTGTAAGGGAAACCCTGGTGGAGGAAAGGAAAGATCCATTCTTTTTCCCTCTGAAACGCAGTTCAAGGACACATTTTAAGCCGGTCCATCACATGGGGGGGGGGGCTACAAAATGGTGAATACAAAACCAGAGATGACTCACAGACAGAGAGAAGAAACAAATGCTCTGAGGGAAATGTACGGCAGCTCTGAAATATCACGTGTCTGTTCTGCAGCAGATGTAATGTTGGGAAATTTCTTTGTACACAAATCACAAGTCTCTGTTATCCAAAGATTTAATAGAAGAACAGTCGCAGATCACCATTCATTTTCAAGCCTTGCAGCCATTGTAGTCCCACAAGCTGCCGGGTCTAGTTAACAAGACTGGTAAAAATTTAATCACTACAGATAAATGTGCATAACCATTGGTATTATTTATGGGTATGAGCCTGTATCGAAAGCTGTGCTATTTACTTTGTTTTTGTGAAACGTTTGTTGATTTAGGCATGGTGTGTTTGAAAGTACGATATCGGAATAGCTTAAAATGCCACATATTCTATGAAATCAACCATTTTGTTGTTGTTTATCTGTATGAGAAAGTGTCAAATCCAGATTTATATTATGTCTGTGTTAATACCCCTGCCCTGCCCAGGGGCTGGACAGAAGGGATGGCATATGGCTTGTCAGTGCAAGTGATTGTTAAATGCAATCCGCTTGTTAACAACAGCATAGAAGGAAAACCTCTGCAACCATTTCCCCCTCAACTGCCCAAAATCCTGTTTGTAAGCTAAAAATCCTGAGAGGAAACAATAATTTGGCTTTTTGTCATACCCCTTGTTCACTAAGAGAAAAATGGGACTGAAAACAACAACTTACTTGCCCACCATCCGCCTTATTAAATACGGTCAAATTATCCGCTGCCTCCAGGCCAATGTAAATGCAGGCCACACACAGCCAGCTCAGTCATGCAGGCTGAACAGACACGAGCTTGTCCGAGGCAGCCTTTGCTAAGGTCAGTGCTTGTATAAATGGAAGATAAGTGGTGATTTGGAGCAGAGTGGCATTGATTTGCTTGGGTGAAAATGCCTGTATGTGTTCCCCCTTCCCTCAAATGTGACATTTTAAATGCCACACCAGTTCCCTGCACTTTCTGACAGTTGTAAAGGAAAAGAGAAGGTGAAATATTTCAAACTTTCATTGTAGAAAAGCAGTGAAAGCAGAGGTGAAAGCTTCTCTGATTCCTTAAACTCCTTTAGAGTTACTCTTATCAGCTGATTTCAGACAAGCTCAGCTGAGATTCATTGATAGAGTTTGGCCACCTACCATGATGCTCTTGCTCTATTTAAAAAGGGATATTTCTTGGCTGAAAATATTTAATTTTGCTGTCTAGAAATTAGACACAATGGCATGCCCAGAGCATGCCCAGCATGTTAGGTGCTTGCTGGGCTGTAGTCAAGATTTTAGAGGCACTAAGGTCATGAGTCCCTCCAAACGCAAGCCTCCTCCACAGAAAAGTTTGTCAAACCCCCAAAAGAAAGGTTTGGACACATAACTGAATAAATAGAGAAATGAGAAGAGACTCCACTTAGGCATAGCGGCTAATGCTAATATGCTAACAATACTATAATGCTAACATGCTGAGGTTTAGCAGGTAAAATATTTAGTACTATTTACACCTGAGGCTCACGAGAATGTCATTTGTTTTGAAGTCATTTTGTCATAAACCAAAGTACTGAACTCATTGAAATGTTTACCTGAAAGTGATTACAAGTCAGCATGAATGCCTGTACTAAATTTCAAGGCAGTTCATCCAATATTTGTCTAGACAGTTCACTCCAGATCAAAAATTTCAAACTCATGGCGGCACTAGATGGAAAAGATAGACGATCACCAAAGTCAAAAGGATTCATCCTCTTGGTAACGTGAATGTCTGTCCAATAGCTGTGGAGATACAGTATGTCTGTCTTGAAAGGGGTGGACCGAACAGCCAACATTGTCATCGTTAGAGCCACAACGCTAATATAGCTAAAAACACTGGAATCAGACCGCAGAGTACCCACCATGAATGCTTTTCTATTCTAGGTTGTGTATTAAAATCTCTAAAATTCCCTGAAAAAATACAAAGGATATGACCTCAGTGTCCTCGGTCGTAGCTAAAGCCCCGGATGCTCGTTGACATGGTGTTTTAATCTGTCTAATCATCCACCCAAAACTGTCTGACTTACCATCCAGATCATTTCATTGTCTCCATTTCCTTAGTCATTTCTGTAGTGCGCACTGTATCTTACAATGTAGGAGTGAACCCACCGTGACGGAGGTCATCAGCCAGTTGCCAGTTTGGACGTGACTGGCACGTCGGCATGGCTCCTGGCGACGCTGATGTCTGTTTCTCAATGACTTAAGCTTCTGTAACAGTTGCCAGTTTAAGAATGAGTGGGCAGGATAATAGTGCTGCTGACGCCACAGGAACACAAGAATACTGGTACCGATTTAGAAATGTAGGCTTTTTAAAGGTTGATAATCCTTGCTGGAGGATGGCTGAGAATGTGTGTGTGTGTGTGTGTGCTTTCTAAGTGAGTGAAAAAATGCAACCATATTTTTAGTCTCTTGCCTGTTGCTTAGCGACCATCTATCTGCAAGCTGTTGTCTTCTTGACTGTTGCTGATGTGTGTGAGACGTTGTGTTTGTGAGATTTGTGAGTGTGAGACGTGTGTGTGTGAGAGAGACGATGTGTGTATGAGATGTTATGTGTGTGTGTGACATTCTCTGATGTTTCTCACGTTGTCTGCTTGCCCTTCTTCTAGTGAATGTGATAATATAGTTTCTCATTCACAATTTTTTTTCTCTGCGAGTGGATTTTAACGCATTTTATTCAGATGGGTTTTTTTAAACAAATGTGTTTATTTTACATTATGTTCCTTGTGCCTCCTACTTGTTTGCATTGTGTGTAGATCTTTATGCCTTTGTGTGAGCATGTTTGTGCGTGTCGTCTGGTGTTGTAATCTCCTTATTAAGGGTTCGCCCTGTGTGTCCCCAGGCTGCAGCCCATACACTAGATTAATAAATTAGAATGACAATCTGACCCACAGAATCAATGTCTGGAAATTGGAATCCCTCCATATTGTTGATTGTACCTTGGACTCTCCCTCGCCAGGTGTGTGTGTGTTTGTACCTGTCAAATAAGATTAGATATATAATAGATCTGGCTGTCGATCAAGACGAGGAAATAGATGGTGGCACTTTGCCTGAAGAAGTGTGGTGCGTACAGTATGTGAGTAACAGTCATACTGTTTCTGACTTCACATCCACATCCTCTGATTGGCAGATGGCCAAGTGCGGACATAAGGTGTTTTATTTATACGCATGTGCTGGACATGCATTAACACAGAAGAGCAATATCAATCCCATACACACACACACATACTTGTTACAGTCTATTAATAAGATGTGTGACAAAAACTAGACAAATTTCCCAGTAATGTTACATTTTAACTTGGAAGAGTTGAAAATGACTACAGTGGTGGCCTGAGATGAAAACTGAAATTTATTTATTTCCTCCAATTACCTCTGTAAGGTACATGGTGGCTAGGTTTATTGGCTGTGCATATTTGTGTGTGTGTGTGTATACAAACATCTCTATCTGTATCTGAGTTTGAAATATAACGATTATTTCTTTGTTTGTAAGTATTTGTATTCCGGTAAAGCTGAAGGCTCAACCAAGCCCCTCAACGTACCTTAAACCTACCATACACCAAAACTTATTTTTAATTATTTGTGTTTTTCATGTTTAATTTTTTTCAGTTAACTGATTCATCTTTTAAAGACATCTTATCGGTGCCAGTATCTAGTCTCAGCTCTAGCAATTTAATTTAGTCAAATAATACCCTCTATGTTTTTAATTGCTGAATGTCACTCCCCTCAATTTGCTAAAAGCCCAAATTTCCAGAAAAAATGGACATGGCTTCCATGTCCTCATTGTTAGCTACAGCCTGATGACTCATCCCCACACAGTGATAAGGTATTCTTCAATGCTGTTGTATGCTTTGATAAATGTAAAGATGTAATGTAAAGGATTTGGTTTCTCAATACAAAAATAACACTGAAGAGGTTGGTAAAGAGCCAGTCTTTACATGAAACACGTGATTTGTACTGCGACACATTTCAGTTTTGTAAATCTAAAACGTGTGTGTGTGTGTGTGTGTGTGTGTGTGTGTGAGTTAATCAGCCACTATTTATTCATCAGTGTTTCTTTATTTTGTATCTTGTTTTCTCTCTCTCTCTACTGTTAGCCACTCTATTGCTGTCTACCTTATAAATATTTATATATTTTATCACTTTATACTCTTCATTTTATTAATTCATTTAATTAATGAGTTTAATTAATTCATTAATTCATTTTATTATCATGCAGCCCTATTTATGAGGTCACAAAGTGCTTTTGATATAAACATCTGGTATTTTGATTTTTCCATAAATTTTATTATTTTATTATTATATTATTGTACTTGCTACATTTGTTTCCATTGTTCCGTGTTGTTTCAGTGATTTGTTTCGTAAAAAAGAGCCTCATAAAAAAAGCAGAACAGCAAGTTAGTATAGTAACACATTACACTGAGTGTGCTCTTCTCCTTTTTATTGTGTGTGTGTGTGTGTGTGTGTGTGTGTGTGCGTGTGTGCGTGTGTGCGTGTGTGGATGTGTGTATTTCTTATTATCATTCCGTCCATGAGTGCGTCAATGCATGATTAAAATCATTCTGAATACAGTGTTGATGTTGGAAATGTCGTAGTAAAGAGTAAAGTATTTTTAAAAGCTGAAAATGACATGACATGAAAAACAATGTAGATGTTTACAAAGACCAAACTTTTCTTTTCTCTGTCTTTTTTTTCTTCTCAAAGATGAAATAAAACTTGACTGGCAAATGAAGCAATGCAGAAGAGTGTCTTTTCTACTGATGCTGAGAAAGTCTTAACTCAATTAAGGTTGAGGATATGTTTCAAAATTACAAAACTAATTTCACTAAATGCTTAGCAATTAGCAAATGGACCGCAGTATGTAATCATGTTTGGATTGAGTCAGCTGAGGAATTAGCCTCTGCCCTGCTTTACATTTGCATTTGCAAGCTAAAGTTAAAGTAACTCATCAACTACTTATTGCTAACTAACTGGTGACTGGAAAGACACGTCAGATATCTGTAACCTTAAAGGATAGGTTCACTTTTTCTCCCTTTTTCTTTTTTCTTTTTTACATTGCAACAGTTTGTGGTCGTTCTTAAATCACCTCCAATGTAACTGACAAATTCCACCGTCCTTGTTCTAAATGGCAAATTCACTGTATTTAGATAGCACTTCACACAAGGTGATGTCTGATATTCAGGAGCAATTTGGATGTCAGTATCATGCTCAACAACACTTCAACAAGTGGACAAGAAGCACCGTCTACAGCTGCTCCCTCATTATTTGCAAAAAAGGAAATGAGGCATTGATATGTTCAGCTGGAGCTAATAACAGGCCTCAGTAGCCTGAACTGGTCAGATCAATTTGGTGTTTCTTTTTAGCACAAAATTCCCTATTGGTGTTACCCTCCATCACAGCTCAGCAAGGAAACACTGTTAGGAGACATAAAAAAGGGAAGTTCACACTAAAACTAAAATAAATTTAGAACATACCCCCTTGATTTGTCTAACTCTGACAGCTGGAGCCTCATATAGTTTTAAGTATAACATTATTATATATAGTTTAATTTTAGGATGCATAGAACCTCTATATCTGAATACAAGACTAAGAGCCTACAGGCACGCCGATCCTTTGAGCTAAAAGCTTTGAGAGGGGGGGCCTTAAAGAGAGAGAAGTATCTAGCACTTGTTTCAGACAGAGGCTGAAATGAACACCAACATTAAGGGCCATTATAAGACAGAATTTATTTTTGTTTTTTAACTTTGAATCATGCAAAGCTGCCATACAGGAGTCACAGAACAACAATATACGATGAGCAGTATAATAGGTCTCCTTTAAGCAGGTTCACTGTGCAACTGATTTTTTTAGCTTCGTCCCTTAAAAGATATTTATCATATTATGTTGGCTTGTTATAAAAATTTACCACTTGACATAATAAAGAGGTCACACGGCACAATAAAGGACACCGTCAACACAGAGATGATCGCTTACTGTGTAATAACAAGCTTAATTTAATCTACTATAATTCTCTAAGTCATTTCCACTTCAAATACACAAAACAAATGCTCATATTTTCCTGTGTGTGCCTGTCACAGTCCAATAATTAGAAATTATCTGAAGAAATTATCAAATGAAATATCCTAGGAATAAGAAAATATTTGGCAAAACAGAACATTCTGATGCCTGCCTCTGTTAGATCTTTGTTGTCAGCATCGATCAAAAGTTGTGACACAAAGATGACACATGCATGATTAGAGGAGCCTGTCACGAACAGGACTGAATTCTACTTCGCTTTTCAATCTTAACATGGTGACGTTGCCAGTCGTGTGAACACTTGAATTAACAAGATAATGAGCAGAGACCAAAGAAAGTTTGGAAAACTACACAAAAAAACAGTTTTAAACAAAAGTTTACCCTAAATAGCACTTTTTATTCTCAGTATTATTCTTGGGCATGTTTCTGAGGGGAGTTTACTTGACAACAATAATAATTTGTTCTGATTTGTTCAGCATAGGCCTAATTCAATGTGTTCACAACTGTGCAAACATCAACTCCTGGACCAATTCATTCATTTTTGTTCCATTTGGTGCTGTTTGACCTGGAAATGACTTGACTCAATGTGTTTCAATATGAATACGTTTCATGCATAAAGGTCAGTTTACTTGTCAGGAGGAATACAACTCAGTCTGTGAGAAAAAGTTATATAACATATTCTCAAGGGAGCTTTCTAAAGTCAGACAACCCAACCCTGATGATGTCACAGTTATGTGATAGTGGGGATATCTTATAAACTGGTAACAAGGAGTTTGAAAGATGCAGGCATTTACCAGTTACCAAAATTATGCTTTTGGTTGCACTATGGGAAATGTAAGATCCAGTTTTTTTGGAGCTTGAAGTCAGGATATCATGGTCTCTGCTGCTTTGATCTCTGGATTCAAATTGCCAAATACCTGCAAAACTAATGTAATATCCATCTGAGTGCATTTAGCTTTGGGTTACTACATTTGTGTAGGTCTGTGCAAAAGAAAGTTTTTTTTTTCCTGTCAAGAAAAAGACAGTCATGTCATGCTTGTATTGATCCAGTGTGTGGCTCATAAATAACACTGCTGACATTAATCTCTACCCAATTTCCAGTTTCTTTAATGGGCATATTTAAATGGAGGCATTTACTGTAAATGACAATGTTCTGTGTAGTCTGTAATGCATCATTTATCTGTTGATTGAAAGAAAGAGGACACCCATGCAAAAGCTTTGTCCCATCATGCTGCTCCTGCTGGGGTCAGGCCTTTAATTAACATTGAAAATATTGATTTCCCAATCAAAATGAGAATGGCAATGAGAAGGCCCTTTGGTGTAACAAGTCACTGAAATGCACTATGGTAAGAGTGTATGTCCTCTTCCAAATATTCACCAAGGACCCGTTTCAGCTGAGGCTTGTTTGAACATCTGAATGGTCACACCAAGGGGATGTAACATGCTGTATCAACAGTGTTACGCTGGGACAAATTTCACGGCTGTCTAAACAGGGGATTAGTCAGATTTCCAAGCATTTTATATCTGGTGAAACAGCATGAAAAGGTCAATTCAGTATCCCAAAGGGCTTGAATCATTTGGGCCTGCTGAAATCGAGAAAACACTGAGGCTATTAAATAGCTTTGTGATTGCGGTGGGAAAGGGTCTGACCTGACCTGACCAATCAAAAGATCACTGGTTCTGTATTGTAGCTAATGTCAGTCTTTCAGGAAGATGTTACAGTAAACTGCGTTTAACTCTTGATTACAATCGCTCACAAAATGCAAATAGATCTCAAAGAGATATGTGAAAATCCTTTTTACTCTTGTAAAGCAATGTACCGATTGGCTGCTGTACATTCATACCGATTTCTCTTTTTCTTTAAAGCTGAACTAATCAATCTTCTCATATTAACAATGTGAAATGGGTCACTCATTGTGACTAACCTACAGAGAATAATCTCCCAACTCTGCAGTTCCCCTGAAAACTGACAACATGGCCTCACAGCTCTACAAGCATAATAAGTTCCTCGCCTCTATAAGCTCATTGCCGCAACTTTACTATTTTGGTTCCGTCTCACCACTGTCATCAACGTAGTTTCCAGCAGCAGGCAGCTGTTTTCCATAAAAAGCTGTAATAAACAAACTGGTTTGTATTCTTCCTGCATACAATGTTAGCTACTAGCTTAGAGGAACATTTAGCACCCAACAGCCAGATATTACCCTCAGGCATTGGAGAGTGGAGGGTGAATATTCTCAAGTCACCTAAAACACAAATTAAAGCTAATGTTGCTCCGTGTCAGCTAGATGTGTAAATAGGCAATAACATCAAGTCCAGATGTCTTCTTAAGAGATGTCTTCTGTGGAGATTCCTCCACAGAAGGCTGAAGTCTTTTCAAAACCTTTTTGAAATCAGAATGGAAATGACATGTATAAAAATGGACATAAAGCTGAATTTTAGTTTTCAAAGCAGTGCAATACTAATCTTGGATTATTTGCATTTTTGAATTAAGTAGATGCACATATACTAATCTGTGTCTGTTGTCATGCAGAGCTCCTATTGCAGAGTTATTTGGGACAGAAATAACACCAAAACATGTGGCTTAAATAAAATGTTATCATGTCACATTTAACATTAAACCTGCACACCATGTAAACCCCAAGGGATTGGCTTCTGTGAAGTGCTTGCTGGGTAGGACGAGGTCAGTCTGCAAACTCTCCTTGTTTGTGCGTTACTTATTAATTTTGTGAAACTGACTAAACGGCCTCACAGTTAATTATCTCAGTATTCACCTCTGTTTTCTTTTCTCTGTTATCTAACCTGGCAACATGACCAAGAACACCATCATATTTATAGCACTGGCCGGGGGGAGGGTGGTTGTTCGAGATTAGACACTCATGCAAACACACAAACAGACACACACACCTGGGACCTGACCAGCACAACTGCTGTGTGGGCCAATAAACAGCGCTACTGTGGTTGCCTCATGTGATCTAAGGCACTTTGGGAATAGCAGATAAGGGAGGGAGGGTGCGTTCTCTTGCTCTGTCCAGGTGTGTGTCTCTGTTCATTACATTCACTTTTTAAGACTGACCTAATTAAGGAAGAACAAACCCAAACTTTAACTTAGAAGTTTGAAGCAGTTGATGTTTTGCATATTTTCACTCATGCATTTTTGCCCTTTTCTCGTTCTTCTCTGTCAGTTTCTGAACAACGAAGTGGCAGCTGTTATTCCCACAGCAACCCCGCGGTAACCACGACGGCGAGACACGTCGCCATCCTCTGCTGGAGGAGAACGAGACAAAGAGACAAAGAGTAAACACAACAGTCCTGAGGGAGCGATGGAGGAGTGGAGGACGAACAACAAGAAGGAAGATGCAGACAGAGACAAAAAGAGACAGACAGGAAAAAAGATGGAGAGCTAGAAAGTGTGTGAGGAGGAAAGACAGGCAGAGAGAGGAGGAGGAGTATGAATGTGACCAGAATCTGAGACAAACAGACACAGGGAGAAAGCGATAAACTAATTGAGGCATGAGAGAGGAGCGATGGAGACACAGACTTATATCCTGGGGGATGAGGAAGAAGACAGGAAGTGACACGCTACATTGATTGTCTCCCCTCTCCTGGGTCCAAATGTTTGCCTCCACGCATAAACTGATTTTGACACAATTTAGCTGGTTAATTGGCTCTGCAGTTTTTACAAACAACTTCGTATTAGTATTCCCCGAACAAAATGTT